CACACGCCCACACTATGTAGTTTCATATAAGCTGTCACTTTCTTTCTAAGAGAGATTTTCTCAAATTTCATTACAGTTAATAGTGAGGCTTAGCATCTTTAATTAATGGTATTAGTTCAGAGAGCAAGGGCTTTCAGAATTTAACTGGAATTCACTTCCAAAGCTAATCATTTAAGTTTATTCCTGAAGTTTCTTCAGCCATGAACTGTATCAAAATAAAAATGCCCACTCCCTTTAAAGATGAGTGTCCCAAAAGAAAGCAAGGAACAGCCGGGCTCGGTGGCTCAGCCTGTAATCCCGCGCCTTTGGGAGGCTGAGGTGAGTGGATTGCCTGAGCCACAGGTTTGAGACCCGCCTGGGCAGCAAGACCTCATCTCTACAATAAATCAAAAAATCAGCCGGGCGTGGTAGCACATGCCTGTAATTCCGGCTACTTGGAAGGCTGAGGCGGAAGGATCGCCGGAGCCCAGCAGGTCGAGGCTGCGGTGGGAGCGGCCACTGCACTTCAGTCTGGGCGACAGAGTAAGACTCCAACTCAAAAAAAAGAAAGCAAGGAACAAGATTTCTGCACATCTCCTCCCTATTTGCTAACATAAGCCCATTCACTTTTCTTACCTAGAAGCCTTCTTTACTATCTTGCCATCCTCTGGAGGCAGCAAATAGCCGAGCTTTGAGGGAAGGTGTGGAGCCAGACAAATGGGCCCCCTTTCAACTTCCTCACTAGCCTAGGTACCCTTGGTGCCTCCGTAACTAGCAGCCCGCAGTAAGTGCTCCATAAACTATTACTGTTACCTCTGGAGGGGGCCTCCAGCAAGAGGCCTTCTTTCCATAGAATCAACTACCCTCACTCCTCTTCACACTCCTCTTCTCTCAGGACCAGGCAGCCCTGGTCCTCTGCAGCTGTGGCCCCCACCCCAAATCAGGTGGGAAAATGCATCCAGAGGCTGTTTTCCTGAGGGGAACCTGGGTCCCTGATGGTCAAGGGGGAGCACACTGGGAGCAGACTTGAGGCTTTCCTTGGATGTCCAGCCTCTGGTTCACTGCAGGCCTCCAGCCAAGGGGCACCAATTTGAATGTGTGCCCAGTGGCCTCCCCTGGCCTGCCCCAGGTTGGAGTGCGAACCCCAGGGTGGTTCCCTGTCAGGCTCCTGGTACTGCTGCTGGCTAGAATGCTGGCTAGAATGTCTTCCTCCTCTTGCCTGGATACTGTGCTTCACCTGTTGGCCTCCTTATGGGGGGCTGGCTCTCGAGTCAGGCCTCATCTGTCACCTCTTACCTCACTCAGTCCCAGGGTTTTCCCTACCCTAAGGTGCACTGACTCACTTTTGCATGAGTCTCCTTAAGTATTCATTTCCTAGTGTTGGTAAGAAGGCCAAAAGAGTTTAATAGACCTCTCTAGCAGAGTTACAAATGATATAACCAGAATACAAATCGTTTCAACTTCAGCAACCAACTTCAAGGCTCCACTGAACATTAAAGAGCTGATGGGTTAAGTGCTTAATTAAGTGCTTCTGCTGAGCAAACGATGGTCTGAAACAATCTCATAGTTGGCAAAGTTACACAAACGCTAGCTATTAGAAAGACAGTGGGGCTAGCTCACACACACTCAAATACATGTGCTTATCCTCTTCATCTGGATAAATGTGATTCTTTTTGTGCTGCTGTTCCTGGAACAAAACAGAATTCTTACCGCTATCAGAGTGCATGCTTCAAGTATTACTCAGGGGATGGACGGAATGGGAATGGACAGCAGAAGCTCACTGACCAACAAAACATTATGGGAAACAGACCGCATTATTGCTGGGGTGGTAGGAAATTTTTGTTTTTAACTAAACAACCAATATGTGTTCCTTGTAGAAAAACTAGAACATACGTAAGATAATCTCAATTCTCAGGTTTATAAGTTATGATTATAATAATAACAGTAGCAGCTACTGGTAAATGGTATTGCTCCCATTTATATGTGCCTGTATTTTAAGGTTCATTCATTATCTTCCTCATTTATTCTCCACAATCCTGAAGTGGAAGCAGTGTTACTGAAAGAAGTGTAGCAGAGAGGTTAAGAATACAGAATTTGAACACAGTCTGATTTTCTGGATTCAAATCCTGCCTCAGCCACTGGCTTTGCATTCAACTGAGTCTCACTTTACCAAGGTTTCCTCATCTGCAAGATGAGAATCATAAAAATATCTACCCTCTGAGGTGTGAGAACTAAATCTAAGACTGCATATAGTATATACTTTAGTGTGGCACCTGGCAAAATAATGAGCTTTCAGTGTCACTCTCTCATTTTTACAGGTGATGAAACAATTCAGCAATGGTAAGTAACATGCCCAAGCTCACCACTTAATCAGCATTAGTGATGGCCATTAAACCCAACTGCCTTCTTGCCACATAGGTGGGTAGCTGTTTTATAATTAACAGAGGATGTAGGTGAATATGAAAGTAACAAAATGTTTCCTGTCAAGTATTTTAATTGCATCAATCATCAACTTCTTGAACCTGAACCAGTGACATAATTTGCAGGGCCCAGTGCAAAATACAAATGCAAGGTCCCTTATTCCAAAACTAAGGAATTTCAAGACGGTGATAACAGAACATTAAACCAAGTATGGATCCCTTCTGAGTTCAGAGTCCTTCCTCCCAGCATGCGGCCCTATATAGTTGCACAGGTCACACGTCCATGCCATCCATTTCTGGACCCCATCAGTGGCCAAGTTTCAGGACTGAAATTGGATTATGTGGTCATAACAGTCAAGATGTTCTTCATGAATACACTTCAACTGTCTCATCCCCAGAAGGAACTGGTATACCATGAATTGATTCACAGTGACAACTAATACAGTCAAAATTAAATAATTACCAAGAATAGATACACTTCCTTGATCTCCCTGGCAGTCAAAGGCAGTAAGCACCAATTTACTCCAGGAAAAACTAATACAAAATAATACTCCCCCTAATCACAAATGTCCTAAATGTTTTTCAAAGTAAAAGGCACAGAGAATTCTCAGTGACTGCTCTATCACAGCTTGCAGAAAAAAAGATAACACAACTATGTCACACTTGAGAGTATAAACCAAGACTTTCTTTGTTCTTGTCTTATCAAACATTTAAACTCTTTTTTTCTTTCATTCTGTGACTTTCTTTGTATTCTCTCTCAACATTTTGCAAGCTGGGTAGCCACCATACAGAGAACCACAGAAGCAAAAAGAAACAGATACCTAAAAACCAAAATTAGTCGTTTTTAGAGTGTTCTGAGTCTTACAGATACCGCTAAGTGCAAAATGGTGGAAGATTTCTTCTGAGCCATGCCCTGTAAAAGAAAGGGAATTGGATTTTCAGGTGTACTGAAATGCCTAATGATGAATCATTCAGTCTGGGGCATGTGTCATATGTCCTTAACTCTTAAATAGTTGCCATGTCATCTAAGAACAACTCTAACAAAATTATCCTGTAATTCTTTTTTTTGAGTTGGAGTCTCACTCCGTTGCCCAGGCTGGAGTGCTCATGGCCAACCCAGCGTCGACCAATTTGGCTCTGGTGATCCTTCCATCTCAGCCTTCCAAGTAGCTGGAACTACAGGCATGCGCTACCACGCCCGGCTAATTTTTTGATTTATTGTAGAGACCAGGTCTCACCCTGTTGCCCAGGCTGGCCTTAAACCCACGGGCTCAGGTAATCCTCTCGCCTCAGCCCCTGCAAAGCAAAGTGCTGGGATTGCAGGCTTGAGCCATCACGCTCAGCTGGAATTCTTTTTTAAATGAAAAGGGAGCAATTTTTGACTTCAAATGGGTGTTCAGTTTAAAATAAATATGGCAGGTTGCATGCACACACTTAGCAGCAACCATTCACCCAATGGAGTGATGTTGACCTTGGTAGGTTTTGCTAGCTATATAAATGTCTTGACAACTACAGGGTCAATTTTGAGCCATTCAAAAACCAGGTATTTAATAGACTAGAGAAAATGGATGAAGCAAACAAAAGCAATTACACCAGCCAGCTTTCAGGGGATAATTACCGCTCCCTATCCTAACTGCTAAGTTTGTTAACTGGGAACTTGAGGACACCAATGCCTCCCAGAATTGCTGGGATACCTTCAAAGCAGGGTTTCTAAACCAAGACAATATTGACTTTGGGGGCTAGATAATTCTTTGTCATGGGAGGGCTGTCTTGTGCACTGCAGGATGTTGAACAGCATCCCTGACCTCGACCAGTAGCACCCACTTCCCGACTTACAACAACGAGAGATGACTCCACCCATAGCCAAATGCCCTCTGGGGGGTAAAATCGCCTCCAACTGAGAACCGCGCTTTAAAGAGATGGCAATAAATAAAACACAAAGAATCAAAGCGCTTTAGAACAGGCAGAGATTTTAAGGAGGCTGAGAACTTTACATCAGCCTCCCTGGGGCACATGTTAAAATGTTGATTGAGTCCTGAACCTCAACCCAGATCTGGGTTTGCCTACATCAGTACCGATATCCTCGTTCTACAGATAAGCTAACTTGGGCCAGAGAGGGCAAATGCCTTGCCCAAGGTCGCAGGACGAGTTGGCACCCGGACTTCAGAACCAACCCTGAACTTCCTTACGACAAGGAACGTGTGTTGTTCTTCGCTCTTTGAGGCTGCGAAGCCTAATAATGGTGAGGACCGTGCACTCTGGAGCCAGCCCGCCTGAGTCGAAATCCCGACTCGGCATTGATTAACCGGGCGGCCTCGCACAAGGTACGTAACCTCCGAGGGCCTCCGTTTCCTTCTCGATCCAGCGGAATAATGACAGCGCCTACTTCCCAGCGCTCTCAGAAGGTTACGAGACCCTGAACAGAAAGCCCGCGCGCAGCACAGCAACCTCGCGATAGATACGCGTCCCGTTGCTCTTGTTGTCCCGCGGCCGCAAAGTGGAAGGAGGCCGGGGCAGGGGCCTGGAAACGGGCTCGGGGAGCTAACGACCCCGACCCTCCCTGTCCTCCCCGAGGACCGAGCCGCCGCGCCCCGCCCTCACCTGGCCCCGCAGCTCCTTCTCCAGTTGCCGGTAGTCGTTGTTCCAAACCAGCAGGTGCAGGGGGAAGCGGCTGCCGGCGCCGCAGGCCGAGGACATGGCGAAGGGGCCGCCACCGGGCTCCGGCGCCCGTCTGCCAGCA